ACTTGAAAAATGTACTTTTATCATGTGATTTAATAAAAGTAATCGTTCAAAAATAATTTTAAACTCTTACAAGGTAAATAAACGTATATCCAACATCAATAAACCGTCACCTAAAATGTTATGGGGTTTTTTATGTACCATCACAGACATTAAAACCTGGTTCATAAATATAGGGTGGAAGACTGAAGCAACAGGGTGACCACTGATGATTTTAAATAAAGGCTGTAACCTTTGAGGTTTAACTTGACAGTAGCATGAGGTTGGTTATGGTTGAAGAATGGATCCCTGGCAGGTCAGTGAATTGTTCCATGATGGCAGCTCCTTAAAATGCCAAAACTGTTCAATCACTTATTACGTATAAGACGCACGTGTGGTCGTGTATGTGATATAATAAAATACTATACTAAATAATGACATTATTAATTCGACAAGTAGTGATGTTCTAACAGCTGTCTATAATCTAATGGTAATGTCTGTAACAAACTATCACTGAGTAATAAGGCCAAATGCAAGAATTTTGTAAAACATTTAACTTATATCAAAACTATTAAAGGTTTTGGTATGTGCATAAGTTATAAATCCAACCACTTTTCAAATGTTTCACCTTATTATTTTACATAGGGAATGGCTTGGCTACGCTAAGCTTGGTCTGCTAGCCTCCTGCAGAAAGCCATTTGTTCTATGGATTTTATCAGCATCTTCTAACCCAACGCTAGCCAGTAGTATTGTTTTCCACTGGTAAACATGTCAACCAACAAAGGTCCACACAATTATGGTTTGTTTCTTTGTGGAATCCTTGCATACCGTTGTATTTAGAAATGTTAATATAAACCTAATACCTCTGTGTGACCATGTGTGCAACAGGTTAAATTTGAGTTGAGCAGGAGTGAGACATAATTAAAAAGAAGAATTAAACAACAGGTAGGTCCTTGATTTAAAACTATTAAAGTGGATTTAATGAAGTGAAATACAATCACACCTGTGATCCATAAAGGACCACTCAATCAAAGACAGCCAGCCAATATCCCATAGTATTAATCAGTGGACTGAGTTTAAGGCACAGAGGAACATGATCACTTTATAGACAAAAACAAAAGACAAAACTGTGGTTTAAAGAGAAACACACACATGCACACACAGACTCTTATCTTTGGTTCCAGCTCTTATAAGGACACTTGGAGATACAATCAATTAGTAATTGATTAATTTACGCATGCAGCTGATCCTGAGTCAGTCTACCATGTCAAGAGAAAATGATAAGAGCCTACTCATTATTGCCAAATATTCCCCACCAGCAAGTGACTAGACCATGTGATCCAGCCCCTTTGATTTGTTTTATGTCACAGCAGCAGAGGCTTCTGATTAGCCAGTGTCCAATCACAGGCAAGTCCTCAAAAGAAAAAAAAGTTTGTGCAAAAACAAGAAATATAGAAACGACTGAGTCAAGCTCTGTGTCCAGAACCCAAACATTCAAGTGTCACATGACCATGTTCAACATGGTGAGCACCTCCTCAGGGTTTCCCAATGTCCACTGTGATTTCAGTAAAAAGATCAAATGTTTCCTTTTTCACCACTTTGTACGTCAAAGAATTGAGCCCGTCTTTTCTCATCGTGTCTCTGGTGTGAGCGATTCTGTCAAACCTGAGGAAAGCAATAGAGATTCATTTACGATTACGCTAAACCATTCATTATGATCAAGGTTCATAAATATAGGGTGGAAGACTGAAGCAACAGGGTGACCACTGATGATTTTAAATAAAGGCTGTAACCTTTGAGGTTTAACTTGACAGTAGCATGAGGTTGGTTATGGTTGAAGAATGGATCCCTGGCAGGTCAGTGAATTGTTCCATGATGGCAGCTCATTTAAATACCAAAACTGTTCAATCACATATTATATATGAGTAGTCATATGAGACGTGTGGTCGTGTTTGTGATATAATAAAATACTATACTAAATAATGACATTGTTATTATTAATAACATGACAAGCAGTGATGTTACAACAGCTGGTAACAGCTGTCTATAATCTATTGGTAATGTCTGTAACAAACTATCCTCCCAAAGTAACAACATTTCTGGACAGATTATTCAATTTATATTTTTTCATACCTTTCAAAAGGGATTTACTATGTTGTATTGTTTTTGCAAGGTAATTCCCAATTATACTGAGAATAACCCTGTACCCTGCAAAGGATTGAGCGACAGATACTGAATGAATATATTTTTATGATATTGTCCTGAGAATATCTTCTCAAAGAATTCTTCTATGCATAATCTTTACCTGCTCTGTTATCTATAAAAGTATGGCTAATGTTCCTACCTTAGGACTTTGCTCTGGGAGCACCGACTGAAATTCAGAGATTTAAACCCCAGGTTTCACCACTGATTAATAAGGCCAAAACCCTGCTTTAACGCAAGGATTTTGTAAAACCTTTATCTTATATCAAAACTATTAAAGGTTTTGGTTTGTGCATAAGTTATTAAATCCACCCACTTTTGAAATGTTCACCTTATTATTTTACATAGGGAATGGCTTGGCTACGCTAAGCTCAGTCTGCTAGCCTCCTGCAGAAAGCCATTTGTTCTATGGATTTTATCAGCATCTTCTAACCCAACGCTAGCCAGTAGTATTGTTTTCCACTGGTAAACATGTCAACCAACAAAGGTCCAGTTAAGAAAAAAATGATGAGGCAGAGTAGGGGGTTTCATCATACTAATAAGCATTAGTATGATGAAAGCACCACACATTTATGGTTCGTTTCTTTGGTGAATTCTTGTATACTGCTTTATTTAGAAATGTAACAATTAAAATGATTCTTTTTACCTGTAAGAACAAATAAAGTAGAACAAACAAGTGAGAGCCATTATGCTTACCTCTGAGGGTTGTCCTCATTCAGTTTGTCGCGAGTATGTCGGATCATGCGACATTTTCCGATCTCTGCACTCGGCCTGGACACGTACATGCCACTGAACACCAGCCTGCAAACATGAAATACCAAAGGTCTCATCTTATGCTGACCTTGTTTCCTGGTCTGTGTACAGTATATGTGTATAACAGAGTGGAGTCAGGCCCTTCATTCATACCTGTTAAAGATATCATCATCCTCTCCACCCCAGCCCCAGTAGTTATTGGGAAATCCATTAATTTTAAGGATTTGTTGTTTACTCATGGAGGACACGCCCCCAAAGAACTGATTATAGGGTAACCTGTGGATCAAAAAATGTTTTTATTTTGCATGGTTGAAAAATACTGAGTTATGTATTGATGATGGTTTGCAAAGTGAAAAATAATACATCTTGATATTATTTATGGATGAACAAAACCTTGGAAACTGAGAGATTGAGTTTAATAATTTACAATAACATTAATGGCTGTACAGCATGGGTTTCCTTTCATCCAATTATGATCTGGTCCTTCATGCACTTTAACACCTGTTGAAGTCAAACATCCGGGATTCATTTCTATTTTCGTTTTTAGTCTTATTGTTTGTTTACGCTTTTATAGTTGCAGCAGTTAGTCACATTTTTCATCGTAAAATATTGGCATAGTATAAAAAAACAATTGCTTTAAAAACAAAAAGATTTTTCCCTGCACTGAAGCATTGTCTAAGGTAACAAAGCCTACAAAAAGAGAAATCTGCAGAGTTGTGTCAATTTAAGACCAATAAAAACGAAGTAATTCTTTCAGTGTACAAAATCAAATGCTATCTTGTGAATTTTTAAGGCGTGTGTGTTTTTGCCTACAAATAGGAAACAGGAAATGAGCAGTAGTGCAGATGGTGAAGTATCTACAGTGTCTTTGTCAGCACTGTTTAAACACATGACAGGAAGTGCACCACCAGAGGAGGATTGTGGTGATAAGAATCTGAAAATCTGTGTGTGTTCAGCAGAGGTGGACAAAAACATGCAAAGACATAAACCTGACACTGACTTGAAGCCAAACTTGTCCATGGCAGCAGACAGATGTCGTGGGTTACTGAAGCACTTGTAGGTGTTGCGGTCGTCTATGGGGATCAGATCGACATCGCTGAAGACGAAACAGTCGTAGTTGTCATCCTTTAGCGCTTCGACATAGCCCACATTCAGCAGCTTGGCCCTGTTGAATTTGCCTGTGCCCTCCTGACACACAATAACAGAAGCAAAGTCACAGTCAAACAACAACTCAAGAGAAACAATGTTCACAAAACACATGCAAAGACACAGTTTCATCACAGGTTAATATGTTTAAATTGATAAGAGTGGAAGCACACTGCAGGCGTCATGCCACCAGAAATGGAAACAGTAGAGGCAGAAGGAAAAGCAGTAGTAGAAGAAGAGCATTTACCACAATGACCTCTCAATGCCTGCGACAATTGGCCGAGACACGACAGGCGGTGCGTTTCAGTTTCTCCAGCGAACACAGCCATAGGTCAGAAATGCCTGACATGCAGAGGGAGGAGTGTGAAAGACAGTGCCAGGAGGAAAAAAGGAAGGAAAGAGAGAAGACAAGAGAGGAAGGAAGGAAAAAGGAAAGTAACTGTGAGTCAAATCACAACAAACAAGTGCTATGAGAAGAAGCTGTTAATCAAAACTGAATTGACCAATGACCAATGCAATGGACACCTTCTGTTCTATTAACGTTGTGTTTAAAGACAACGTTAATAGAACAGAAAGTGTCCAGTGGTCAATCACGGTCACTGGGAACATTTATATGTCATTCAAATCACTTCAGTACCAAAGGCTGTGTCAGACGACTCCAGATTCCATGCAAAACACACACACACAAATACATCCACCACCACCCCGCGCACACACAGACACACACACAGACACAGACACACACACACACACACATCATGTGAATTACATAACTTCAACTTAATTGTCATATTAGTCAATCAGCAGACGTCAATGCCCCAGAGTGTGTTGCTAGTGAAAACAGCCATGTTGTGGCACCCGTTAAGAAACAGCTAATTTATTATTTTAAATAAACACAGTATGACAGGACCTACAGTATGCAAATGTGAGCACTGATATATGACTTGGATTAATAGATAAATATTTTGTCCATTCATTTCTAAAAGGAAACATTACAGTTAATGAGTATTGACAGAGTCCAAAGTCGAGAAAACATAGAATAGAACAGAATTGTCTTTATTGTCATTATGTTCGGTTAAAACAACGAAATTGGGGAAGGCTTCTCCGCTTGTGCGTGCAGGCGCACACGCACAAGCACACACCTCGCATGATCATTTGTCCCAGATCAGGGCAGGATATAAGTGTTGAACTTGTTTACCCAAGGACATAGTGCTAAGAGGATAAAAAGCCAGGAACAAAAGGAGAAAGAGAAAGACAGGACAGACTAAAAACAGAACAGATAAGAAAATGTTGAGGACAGAAAGCTAAGAGGGAGCAGAAGGACAGAAAATACAGAAAAACCACAAATATAACAAACAAGAGCGAGTAGAGAGAGGATGTCGGGGGGGCAGATGAAAGAGAGGACAGGAAGACCAGAGGAAAAAGTCAGAGAGTTTGGGGAAGAAGAGGTGGAGACAGAGCAGAAAGACGAGAATTGGGGGGAAGGGGGCACAGCTAAGACATGAGAACAATGTTCAATGCTCAATGATGGTGTGATTTTAAACGCGGTAATATTTGTCCTTAATGTTTGAACAATAACTGGTGAATTTTGTGTACAGAATGTATCCTTGTCCTGGTTGGCACCGTTTTATTTTTTTTTCAAATCTTACATCCTGTTAACTCCTGAATTTGTGTACAGTTCCACCACCTACATAGCTAGGTTTGACACCAGGCCTTGTCTGGAAGACTTGGGTAAAGGTTACCATTATCAGTGGAAGAATTGGGCTATACATTTCACTAATGTTTTTATTAGCACACACAAGGAAACGATTTTAGTCCTGAAGGGTTATCCTGAGGGTTAAAAAAAACAATGAGGAAAGTTTGGATTTTATGAGTCACGCTTTGTAACATTGTTTTGATAGAATAAAACAGATAAGTTTGTTTTTGCAAATCAACAGCGATAGATTTTGAAAACCCTTGCATCAGGCTGTAGGTACATCCGCAGCCCAGTTAAAACTCTTATTCCCAAAATCCCACTGCTTCCGGGAGGGACCATTGACGTCACGCCCAGTGACCTCCGCAACCCTTAAAACTGGGGTGCAGCCCAGGTATCGCTCTCTCTGACCCGGACTCCCAGGCGCAACTCTTCCCTTCACCTCTCCAGACGAAGAAGACCCAGCTTAAACTTCTACTCACCACGAGCCACGGTGAAAAGTTTATAGCTAGAGAGCATCTAACTCAATCTGAACTCAGCCAATAGGTAATACTTCGAACTTTAGCGCTACTGCAACGGGCAGCAACCCAAAGAGGGACAAGAGCGGCTAGTCTCTTCC